GAGAGGAAGGGAGAGGAAGAAAGAGATAGAAACATCAATGATGAGAGAGAATCACTGATCAGCTGCCTCCTGCACGCCCCCAACTGGGGATCGAACCCACAACCTGGGCATGTGCCTTTGACTGGAATCGAACCCAGGACCTTTCAGTCCACAGGCCAACACTCTATCCACTGAGCCATACCAGTTAGGGCCAAGTACTACCTTTTTCTTAAATGGCTTCCTCGAGATAAAATGCACACACCATAGACTTCACTGAATTAAGATGTACAATTCAATGGTTTTTAGTACATTCACAGAGTTGTATAACTACCCCTACAATCTAATTTTAAAACATTTTCATCATCCCCAAAAGAAAACCTGTACCCATTAGCACTCACTCCCCACTCTGAACCATCTACTATTTATCTCTGTAAGATTTGCCTATTGGCCTCTTGTTACTGGCTTCTTTCACTTAGCATGGTTTCAAGGTTTATCCATTTGAAGCACGCATCATAGTTCATTACTGTTAGTATATGTGTTGCTGAGTGAGCATATTTCATTCCTTTTTATTGTTGAATAATATTCCATTGTATGGATGTACCACCTTTTATTTATCCACGGACCAGTGTAGACATTTGGGGTGTTGCGATTTGGGGGCTATTATGATTAACAGTGCTATGAACATTCACATTTTTGCATGGACATATGTTTTCAATTCCTTAGGGGTATTTATGACCATATGCTGAGTCATATGGTTATTCTTTGTTTAGTCTTTTGAGAAACTGCAAATTGTTTTCCAAAGCAGCTGCATAATTTTACATTCTCACCAGCAGTTATATGAGGATTCTAATGTCTCCATACCCTTACGTGTGATTATCTGCCTTTTTGATTACTTACTGTCATCCTAGTGGGTGTGAACTTCATTATGGTTTTGATTTGCATTTCCCTAATGGCTAATGATGTTGAGCACCTTCTGATGTACTTACTGTCACTTGTATGTCGTCTTTGAGAAATGTTTATTCAGACCCTTTGTCCATATTTTTTAATGTAGTAAAGCTTTATTGCCGCTTTGCATCACAGTTCAACATACCCAGTTTGCCTTCCATGAGATGATTTTAAGACCTCAGGATCTCCCTCCCACTGGATTTCCCGCATTAGATAGCAGATGATGAGGGGAAGGAAAGTGTGGAAGATGGTGCAGTGGTTACAGCAATTCCACCTACATTCCCCCACTGAGAGCTAGTCAGACATTCCCCTTCGCCCCCTCTTCCCCCATCCCCTGCCCCCTGTCAAGATGCAAGGGTGTTGGAAAATGTTGCTTAGCTTTGTAATAAGGAAAGGAAATGGGTCTTTCTGATTCTGGCTCTTGCTCGTTCTGGCTTGTGCCTTTGCATTTCATTGCTTGGAATGAAATGGGAGAGTGTGTCCTAAGGAAAGATTAAAAAATCCTTTGATGATCAAAGGGCAATAAATACAATTTGGTCCCGTATGGTTCCACCTAGAATACAAGTTAGATTCTTCTAATCTCATATAGTTGCTAAGGCGATGGTTAGAAATTAGGAAAACAAAGCTTATGACATTGTGACAATATTCATAATTAAAAACCATGCTTATAGTTTAATAAGCAAGTATAACTCATTTATTATTTTCCTTTTATTTTCTATATTGAGGTTCTATTGTATATGATCAGAGTTTTGAAAAAAAATGTTGAAAGAGTCTTCTTTAACAATCCTCTGTCCCTTTAGTCACTGAATTAAATTTTATGAAACCCTGATATAAAGACACTGAAGCTTAGCCAAGTCAACTGAACTTCACTTGCTTCCTAAACACCTTTACTGCCCCATCGAGCCTGCAGAGCCAGCCATCACTCTCTGCAGTGGGCATTCTCTCACCCCACAGAGGACCTGAGTGCAATTAGTATTTCCCTTACGCAGCCAGGGCATTTCCTCCTTATCTACAACTTGGTGGAAGGCTTGAGGTTTCCCCTGACACATTCACGCAAACATGGTTGTACTAGAGTAATAATACTAATGTTTTTGTAACTGTTATTTGCTTTCTATGTTGTTACTCAATTGGCTTGTGAATTATACAGTATAATGAGAATAAACATTTTCTTAATAAACTCAGAAACCTCTAGGTAGACTGAAAGTACTCTATGTACTACAGTGAGAAGAAAAACACATCCTTATTTTAAGCACTTATTCAAAATCTGTGCTAATATAGTTTATCCAATCCTGGTGTAGAAAGTATACATCAGGGAACCCACGGCTGCCTTAAGACCCTTTCATTTTTCCATTTTATCACCAGGACACAGAATTTTATGCGGTTGTTGGTTGGCAAAGACACTTAAGTAAAATTTCTGGGGAAGAAGAGGGAGGAACATGTTTTATTTCCCAGTTAATGACCAATTTAAAAGAGAATGACAATGAAAACATGGTTTCAAAGGTGTAAAACACTTATTCATAGTGTTTGAGCAATGGGAATGGTGAATAAAAACACACACTGAGTTATCACAAAAGAAAACATATGGCAGCGCTTACTTTTAAGGTTGCTGTTTTCTTCAATCACCTTCAGATCAGTGGCAGGAGGAGTGACTTAGCTATCATCACCAGTACTGAATCAGTGGTACCCACCCTCTTTAATTAACTCGGAGGAAAGGCAGCAAATTCAAGTTCATATTAAAATTAGGATTGTTAATGACAGATTCCAAATGGAATTTTCCCAGTACTTCCAGGAAGCAGATGCTTTAAGAAATTCATGTTTACTTAGTGAAAATTTCATGCAAGAAGAAAATAGTCAGTGACTTTAAAAACTGTGATGTTCAATAGGAGAATTCATGTCTGCTAGAGTTCAACATCCCCTCGTTGCACCATCACCTCCATAATTGGCAAATACTATGAAATATAACCCATTTTCTCAAAGAAATATCATTTTATGGATTCTTATTCGAGGAGAATGCTGCTAGGGCAATCTCAAGAGTATATACATTTTTTTGTGTGGAATAACAACAGAGAAATACTACGTAAATCAAATGATAATTGTACAAAACATTTATAGATGAACCAAATTCAAACTCCTAATAAACACAATCCCCACTGCCACTCTGACCTTTATGGGTTTCCAAGCAGCCATTAAGAAGAAACAGTTTTCTTATAACAAGTCATGGCAAGGATAGAAGTAAGTGAGCTATTATACTAATTTTTTAAAACTTGAGAATATTCAACTAACAGGAAAATCTTAAAAGATAAATGTTTTGTGTGTGAGAGAGAAGTACTTTGGAATTATAATCTTATAATCTTAATACCTTAATGGGATGACAGATCCTATCACATACACACACACACACAAAATAAATAAATAAAGGAGAAGAAAAATAGCCCCAGTCAGGCTGTGGCTGCACACAGCTATCTCTGTTTATCAGCGACTGCTATCCGGACTGGGTGCTGTTCCCACAGTCTCATATCAGCACAACCATTTAGAAATGAAACAAACCACAGGAAACAAGCAAAACAACTCTCTGGCTGTCTGGTATGCATCGCCACTTCAAAATCAGAATCTAAAAATTCTCTCATAAAGTTTCTAAATATCAACCCATTAGGTTGTTGTCTGGGGATTCAGAGAGGTCCTATTAGATAGAGCTTGATGAACTACTTCTGTGGTTTATGACAAGATAATTTTTAGCATCCTCCACTACGCCATGTTCCAAAATACAAGAAATGTCACAGATAGTGGCACTGCCCTATCTGTGAACTCATAATGCATTCTCCTTCCTATTACTATATAACGATTCCATCCTCGTCCTTAAGGACGAGGTCAGGTGGTATCATGTTCTTCATCTTTAAAGTGGAAGAACCAAGGCAGATGTTCCTGCTGCTCTCTGTTGACATGGCTGACAGGACTAGAGCAGCACCTGACCTGGGCAGAGCCAATTAGAGTCTCTTTCCCAGGACTTTGAAGACTCTGGTCAGTGGACACACACAAAGACATGTTATGGCTCAGGAGGTATAAGAGTCCGGGGTTCTTGTCCCAGCATCAAGAAGGGTTCAGGAATCTGGAGAAGGGGTTGTGCGTAGATGACATAGGAATCCAGAGACTATAAAGAGTCCAGAGACGAGATATAATTTTGAAAGGCATTGGGGGTCAGAGGAGCTTAGCTAAAGGAGCTAAGATCTAAGGTCTTAAAGTCTAAGGTCTTAGGTTTTCTCTGTCCCCAGGACCCCATACTTTTTATTAACACAACTTGTCCTGAGGTGAGGCAGAGATATACACTTCAAAGGGTCAGGGTTTGGTACAGAGTCCATTGTCAGAATGGGGGAATTAGCCTACGGCTGTTCAGGTGTTTGGCCAGTAGGAGGCAATAACACGTAGATTAAGATGCCCTTTAACTGTCTGGCAGCCAAGAATCAATTTAATGTATCCTTTTCAGGTTTGGGGAAATGCCTAGTGACTACATGTGTGACTCAACCCTGTTGAGTCCCCAAGTCTCATCAACCTTTTGATGAAACTCTTGAAATTATGACATGCTGGAATTGGTCTACGGCAGAAGAGGAAGAGTTGGGGTTGCTATTTCAGTCAGCAAATGGAGAAACCTAGCCTGGAGTAAGCAGAAGAATAAAAGTGAAGCAAAAAACAGCAGAGAACAGAAACGAAATGACTGCAGAAAGACAGTATATTCTTGAATCCAACAGCTTTTCAGGTTCTCGTTCTCTATGAAATCCATGTGTAGTGAGAAACCTTTGCATACTTCCTATAAAAACCCTCCTTTTATTTTCTGTAATTCATTTGAGAGGGTTTCTTGATTAAGGTAATAAGAGTTCTAATTATGAAAAATCATTGGTTTAGGTTGACTTTCCTCAACCATTTGTTAGTAATCATTAAAATTTTTTCCCTTGACTTAAGACGTCGCTCCTTTATTTGTGTATTCGAGATTTCACAGGCAGACCTTGAGAAGAGAGAGGTCTTGTTATTTATACATTTAGCAATGAAAGGAAAACTTTTTATTGACAAAGGTAACTACTTACATAATCTGGTAGAGGAACATCATTGGAACTTAGCGAACCTCTCAAGGACTGTGTAGCTTGTTCCAGAACTTTGTTGTGTTTTTTAGACAGCAAGGAAAACAAACTGAAAAAAATAAAATAGAGACTCCAATTATATTAAAACAACCAAGTGTCTCCTTTGCTAGGTCTTACATGGAATTATATAGTTCCACAGAATGTCAATCATTCTAAAACACACTTGTAAGGATTCTTTTTTTCATGCTTGTGTTAATAACAGGATTAACAATACTATTGATAGAACAAAAATTAAGTGAGAAGAATGTTTAAAGTATAAGGGTTCTAAAGTATAAAAAAACTGACAAGTTAAAATTATATTTCAAACATGGAAGAAATTTTCAGAAGATTACTATAGTGGGAAAAACAGTAGACAAACATTTAGAAAACCTGGGTTATGAAATGACTCTATGAGTAACTCACAGTGTAATTTATTACAAGTCACATGAGCTTGTTTTATCTCAATTTCCTCATCTTTCAATTAACTGTGTTGGATTAGATTATTTCTTTAATATAATAGAGTCTATGATTTAATTTTATAGCTTTATATTTTTATTTCTCAAAAAGAATAACCTTAAATATACATATTATAAGATTTCTGCCTCTAACAATGATGAACTACCTGGTACTGAATAACCCTCTTGTCGTAAACAACTAAGAAACTGGACAACATATATGAAACAACTGTTTTCAGATGTTGTACAACATCTGAAGTGCAAGATTCTGACCCTAAAAGAAGAGAGACCTATATATGGTGAGTTTCTGCCTAGAGGAACATTCCAGACTGTAGTTCAGAATAGTGGGACCCAAATAGTACACTCAATAATATTGTGCTGAGCTGATAAGACAGAGATATGAATTTGAGGCTGCTGCGGCAGCTGGAATTTGCAGGGCAGATTACTGGATGGGAGAAAAATACAAGAGAAAGGTCCAGAAATCTGCCAAAGGCTCTTCCTTAGTGTTTGGCTAAATACTAAGCTGTATAGTACAGAGAAACCCCCACAAGGTGTGGCGGTTAAACAACTACCCAGGAACTGAAACCTGCACAGAGATATTTGAAAGTCCCAAAAGGCTGAGGGATACTCGAGTTCCCACCAGCCAGAGTGGATAAAACTAACTGAACGTGGGCATTCAGTTGAATTCTCAGAAAGACCATACTTTAGAAGCAGAGTATATCTAACCCAGAGTAATAATTACTGTATTCTAAAATTTACCCTAACAAATCTAAAAAGATCAATTTTCAAAGGATAAAAGCTAATTTACACTAAATATAAATGGCTTAACACTCCAATGAAAAGGCAGAGATTGTCAAACTGGATAATAAGCAAGACCTAATTACATGCTGTTTACAAGAGTAACAGTTGTAAATTTAAAGATACAGATAAGTTAACATTAAAACAATATAAAAATGATATAAACACTAGTCATAAGAAAGCTGGAGTGGTTCTATTAATATTAGACATGGTAGGTTTCAGGACAAGAATATTATTATTAGAGATAGAAAGATTTTATAATGATAAAAAAGCCAATTCACCAAGAAGACAAAACAATCCTGAATGCTTCAAGTATACATAACTATGTGCTTATGATATTAAATCTACTATAGCTAATGAGTAAGGAATTCCTCGTTGGGCTAGATGACAACTTAAAAATAAAGGCAATTCTGATTCCATGTATTTTTCCATATAAATTTGAGGTATAATTTGTAGTATTTTTTTTAAATGTCAAAAACATTACTCTAGTATGTCTTAGTGATATCCTGCTAATAAAATGTTACTTTGAATATCTTTTTAGGAAAATCCCTAACTATTTAAGATGGTTTAAATGGGATATTCACCGAAGACAAGGTTACTGGGCATTCTTTCTAGATTAAATTTTAACATTATCAAGAAAAAAATTCTTTAAACACTGATTGGTAATGCTGGATGTTATACAAAGCAAATTAACAGAGGCAAGAAACTTCTCTAAATCTATACCTAAATACAGTTGGAAGAAAGTGAAGTGAAAGTTAAGTGAAATAATTACTGAATGAATAAGTGTGAAACGTATACTGATTAAAACTAAGCATATGTCTAAGAGACAGATTTCTTTGAAATGGAATAGTCTAGCAAAGTTTCATGAAGGCATTAGATCTTACATAGAATCTTGAAGGAAAAAGATTTGTGCAAGAGAAAAGGCATTTCTAAATAGAAGGCAAAGCACAGAGGCAAAACAGGGAAGTAAGAAGAGTGGGATGAAAATGCTATCTAAAGAAGTAGGAAACAAGATTCAACCAATTAGGGTATGTGCATTTTTTGCAATCATTTTATTTTTCTGGGTCTTCTCCATTTGAAGTTAGTCTTGCTTTGCTTTGTTTTTCCTTTTTGGAGTTAAAAGTAAATACTGTACTTTCTACTCAAGCCCGTTCCTATGACCCATTGGTAACCACTGGTAATGTTAGCAGTTTATTGTATATGATTCTAGAAATGTTATATGCATCAAGAATAAATGAATACTGTCCATTTACATCCATCTTTTTATTCCACAAAATATAAACTGTTTTGTACCTGCACTTTTTCTACTTAACAATATATTCCTTAATTCAGTCAACAAACAATTATTTAGTGCGAGTTACTTGATACAAAATATGGATATACCATAATTTGACCTGTCCACTATCAATCAGTATAATGTTCCTAGTTTTTTGTATTACAAATAGCACTGCAATGAATGCCCTTGTACACAATTTTTAATATACTAGAGGGGAGAGACTATTCCTTGAAGTAAAACTGCTGATTAAAAGAATTACTGAACATAATACTGAAGTGCATTAGGGGGTATATATTTTTTAATGGACAAATTATTTTAAAGGTGATGGAAGTAAAAAGGTAAAAGTAAATTAGGCTAGTGTGTGATGCAAATTTACATGGAAATGTATAAAGAGGGAAATCAGTAAGAGTCTTCTAATTGGTTTCAATACATTTCTTGGAATAAATGAAATTTCAGAAGTTTTTGAGACAAATAACTTTGGTGGTCAGCTGTAGCATAGTATTTGGCAAGACTCAGGCATAAATGGACGCCCAAACAAAAAAGGGAAAGCAATAAACATACCTGGAATTGAATTTCTCCTGGTTAATGTAACTAAATAAGGAAGACATAGAAGGAAAACCGAAAGATGACTAACTTTAAAAACAATGTTACAGTAATTATGATGAGTGAAAATATTTAAAAAATAACAGCTACAATACATGACTTGTCAATGTATGACCTGGTAGTTATAACAAAAACACAAGTGAGTGAAGAAAGAGAATCTATCATTAAGCTTAAAGACAATTTTATTTTTCACAGTCATTCATGCAAATTTTTTGTTTTTAACTTTAAAGTAATTCAGTGGGAAAATATCTAATAAGTAAAAGGATTATTAAGCAGATTTTTCTAATTTTGACTAAATTTGGTCAGAAATGCTATTTAGTAAGAATGACCTAAGTAAATTAAAACCTTGGTAATTTAATTTATCTCAAAAGAAAAACTATCCCTAATTTTGAGTTACTTTTCATACATCTTCCACGGGTAATACTTTTTAGAAAACCCAACAAACTAAATATGCCTCCTTTCCCATGTCTAAAGACATAAACCCAGACCACAAACAGAGAAAGATTTCCTAGCATGAAGTGGTTATCAATGCCCAAGAGAGAGCTGTGAATTCAACTCTAGGTCTTATTAACCTGACTTAACACCACTCTACACAAGCTAAGTTATTACCTTCCTCAGCTAAAACTCCCACATAATAAAATCAACGAAGAAGGGGAAACCAGGATGAAAACATATGGAAATGGGGAAAATGCCCCCCCCCCCCCCCGCCAAACAAGAAAAGGGTTTTGAGATCAAAGTAGGAGCAAACTCAGCATTCCGTTAATGTTTAGTACAACTGTCCAAGCTCATGGCAACATCCCTGCAGCTTCCAGAAATGGATGCAAACATGCACCAAGTCTTGTACTTACAAAACTTGTGCGTCTGCAATAGCAAGATGTCTTGGCTGAAATACTTTCAAAGCATTTTTGAAGATAGTGCTTTCATAAAACATACTTTTGTTATCTGGAAAATATGTGGAACTCCGTAATTCCCAGGGATGCTAGATAAATGAGGTGTCACTTAAATAGGATTTTAAAAGCCTGTAATATTTGAAGCTACAGTCCCTTTTAGTTCTGAGCTAAGTCCAAACAACAGAGTTTACTACAGTATCAACCAGAATATTTCTGATATGATAAAATTACAAATGTTTTTAAATTAAAATATATTTAACAATACAGAACACAAACCATAGTGTTCCCCATGAATAACCATTTTTAAATGTCTTTTTAGAACACAGCTCTATTTAACTACCAATAATTAGAGGTAAAATTTTATCAGTAGTTGTAAAAATGTCACAATTTCAGGACAAAATTATAGCTCAAATCAAGTTGGGCATAACTTGATAAGAAATAATCTCCTGTTTTTAAAGAACTGTGGTTAATGTTTAACCACATATGACTCCCCAATTTTCCTAAGATCCAGGCATAAATTCATGCTTTGTGCTCCCTCTGCTGGCTCTAAGCTATTTTTTGTACAAGGGAATCCTGTTACAAATGCACTGAAAGGCACTTGTTCATTACATTTGGGATCTTAAAGATGTAATCCAGCCCTACACTTTCAGCGATGAGGAAAAGCAAGACAACCAAGGTGATCCTGAGTGCTGACAGGTAGAATAATCCTCATCTTTTGACTCAATCCAGTGCTCCTTCCATTCCATTAGCACCTCAATGTCTTCAAGTACAAAACTACTGTTGAACTATAGCTTGCTACCTGCAGTTACTTAAAGTCTGAAGCTTGGTAGCTCTGAGCCATACACAGATTTTTCACTGAACTGTAATTACAACTGGTAAAGACACTTGACCAATATTCAGTGCAGACATATTAGGCTCAGAGAGTATCCATGATTCTGTCTCTTGGACAGCGCCCAATTAAAATAACCTATTGTAAAATTCCCAGACACACTGAATACTTAAATTTCTCCTAATGTGCTTCTATCATTTGTTTACAAATCATATGCCA